CAGCTGTAAACACTATACATTATGCCCGACTCACACTTGGCCAGTTGCACAGGCCAGTGCCTGATCAAGCATAGAATGTCGACGCACTAGCATTAGTTAGTGATCAAACCATTCAGTTCCATAATGCTACTGGCCATATGTGAACCCAGTATTACTATCTCAAGTCTTTTTTCTGCTTTGTTGAGTTGAGAGTCAAATAGATGTTGACCCATGCAACTAGTCATGTGTAATGTTAAGTAATAGTCAATGTGCATATTTTCAAAATGATTATTATATAAAAAGTTTTCGCTATCTGGGAGAAATCAAAATTTTTTATGAAATTTAGACTTTAAGTATGGCCTTGTCATTTAAGATGCTATTACATATTCAAATAGTAATTCTGTATTTATTAGCATTTTCCAACGTTTTCATATGCAAACATTTGTTATTAAATGATTTCCGAAACTTTGCATTAGCATTTTTGTATATAATAAATAGATTTTGGATTTGCAAATAATTTTGTTTGAGACATCCACATCTAAATTTACTGTTTATTCTAAAGTAAAACGTATGAAAGATAACATGATAACAACTTAGTCATAAAAATAAACAAATAACAACAACTTATGTTTATATTAATGGTCAGTTGACAACTATCATGGGTCAATCAGAAATCGCATTGATAATGATTTTTTTATAACTAATGTTCGATGCATACCGATATTTAATTAAATTAGATAAAACGTTAACGAGGATTTGAGTAAACAATGCGGATCTTGTTCATACCTTGTGTGGCAGCTGCGGCCTGGTATGCAGTGTCATAGCCCGTGGCCGCGGCGCGCTGGGTGCCGTAAGTGGCGGCTGTGGCGGCTGGCGCTACGGCGTACCCAGTCTGACCGCCGTACGCTGCCGACGCTGTTGCCGCGCTAAAATCACCAAACACATCTCTGTTCACAATAAACACGCTATTCCACCCCTAATCCACGATCAATACAACTAGTCGCCATTTTGATTAGACACACGAGCACAAGGCTGCGTATGGACCTGCACGTTGTCCTACGCACTATGCTCCAATATGTTTCACCAACAAAACAGTTTTTCACTTACCCGTATTGGGTTCCCCCGTGGGTGAACCCAAAATAATTATTTGCTGCCATCATTTACCAATTTTCTGTATAGAAACAATATGAACGCTTCACGGCAGACACAAAAGAGGAAATAAAAAAAGGCCGGCGTTTTGTCTGTGATTAAATTAATATGGCGGCCACTGACATAGACTATACAACTTCGACTTCTATCATAGACAACTACCAGAGAGAACACTTTTAACGATTTTAATTCACTCACTCCCTTTTTGAACTACTAAAAAAAATCATGCTTGGTTAACAATTGGCCAGTACAGTAGGTCAGTAGCGCTTTATTAGGAAGGACCGACAATTAACAAGCAGATTGTGAACGCTAACTCGCCAACTAACAGACGTCAATGATTTTTGCTTGCCATCAGATCTGTCTAACTGTACTGGCCAAGTGTGAACTGGACATCTGATGTAAATTGTTCACAACTGTCAATACTCAATTTTCATTTTAGAAATGTCAACGTATAAATAAATATTGTGCTTATGTTTGTTGATATTAGTTAATTTCAATTTAACCTGAAATCTTTGGTAACATATTTGAATAATACACGGCGTTATTGTTTATAGGAATTATTCTATTTAATTAAGTCATTTCATAAGCAAAAATTACATTTCCAGAAATTTTATTGTATCCAGATAAATATAACACGAGCAATGGGAAGCGAAGAGAAGTCTTTTACTGTATTTAAGTGCACTACACCGGTATCAGTCCCGATAGATACTAAGGGCTCAAATCATATTCAAATTACCAAAGAAGACGAAGTTAAGAAAGTTGCGACTGACGATTCTCTCACCTCTGTTGATGGAAAATCCTTTATGAGACATGTGAATGTGAATATGTATGCGCCGGATGTAGGGCCTAAATTTTATCCAGTCAAAGGCAATATAGTCACTGCTCCAATAATTACTAAGAATCTTCCAGAAGTTTTTAGTTCCCTACCTATTTCTGGACGCCCGGAATCGAAGGATCATTTAGAGCAGTACCTAGATCAGAAGATCAGAGATTATGTTGGAGGTGACTTGAGTGAAGAAGACTTTGCTAAGCTATCTAAATATTGTAGGTATGTATTCAGTATGGTAGTTCTTTAACTTCATTTAAAATTAAAACTGTGCTTGTTTATGCTTTACTAGTGTACTGGGTGACGTTTCTGTGAATTCTTTTTATATGTGACTATGAGCGGCGGTGGTTTAAGAGTGTTCTGTAAGTAACTTACAGGTCTAATGGTTACTATTCTAAAGTTGTTAATAAGTAGAAAGGTAGAGTATTTACATTTTTACTTCTTTCTAATGCATTGAAACACTTTTTTCCAGTCCAAACCATCTTAAAACTGGTAGGGAACTTACAATGGATACAAATATCCCATCACTGGGTTTCCTGCCTTTTAAAAAGGATGATAAAGAGTGTGAAGGAGGTAACAAACTTAATATTGTTAAGAAGTTTAAGTTACGAGTTGAGAAAGACAAGACAAACTTGTTTGTGAAGAAGTTGAAGTACAGAGGAATGAGATTATTGCCACTTACTACTGAGGTAAATTATTTAGTTTTGTTTAGGTATGCAAAAATAATTAACACATGCTACTGATATTCCCTCCAAGTTCATTTTAATAGATGAAGATTGTACTGGTGACTAAAAAGATAAAATAATTTGTCACATATTTGCAAAATAATTTTCATTATTTTATTTGTTGGTGTAATGTATGCTTGAGTGATACCATAATAGAATTTGTAAACCTTGTCTTGTAAAAATGTATATTTATTATGCAGACAATATTTTCAGGATGAAGATAGTACAGAGACAAATGGAACACCACTTGAACCAGGGAAAGATATATTGTATAGAGTACGCTTCTACAGACCGTTTATGGGTGGCAAAGAAAGAAATGTAAGTTAATTTATTGACAGAGATAATGCAATGTTTTTATTTTGACAACTTTGATAATCACTTCACTATACATACCGATTGAAGGACTCAGAGCCTGCTCTAAGTTAGTGTATAGTCAACCATGTTCACCGCTGCAGGTTGAATACAGAAATCTTTGAATGAGCGTCGGCGGATCAGTTGTTTAAGCACTTGACTTGCAATCTATAGGTCTTGGGTTCGAATCCTGCCGTACCAATGTGAATTCGAAATTTACGGCGAAGGGAAACATCTTAATGCAACCTGCACACATCGGTGAAGACATTCAAAGATATGTGTAAAGTCGATCAACCCGCATTGGGTCAGCGTGGTTCACTTTTACCTTGTCACCCTAACTTAGCTGAGGATGATTGTTGAAAATCCTTGCTGATAATTACAGGTTACATGTTAATGTAGATTATTTAAGTTGAATGTAAGTATTGTGGTGCAGAACACCCGGCACTCAGTGTTCACATGCGACGTGGTGGTGAGCGGACAGAGCCGGCTGTCGGAGCTGCGCGAGCGCATCGTGTGCGCTAACGACGTGGATGTGCGCGTCGACGTCTCCGATAATCCCAATAACTTGCCGCATGCCACTGCCAAGGTAACAATACTGTTTTTTTTTTTTATAACATGAGGTGGCAAACGAACAAGCGGCCATCTGAAACCGCAAAATGGCGAAGCGAACGCTGCCCATAGACATCCGCGATCGCAGATGCGTTGCCTACCCTTATCCGACGGAGGAGGAGACGCACATAAAGAGGATATTGCCCCTTCGTATGCATCACCTCCACCGTCAAATCCACTTCCCCTTCATATCCTCTCCTTATAAAAAAGGGTGGTAAAGAGAAAGGGACTTAAATTAGGCCTCCGGCACCACACTCATCAGACGAAACACGGAATTGCTTCCATTTTATGCCAGACTTCTGTGCGGTCGTGGTATTACTGGGGGCGTGCCGGCCTATTCGTGCTAACATGTTAATGCGGGCACTACCACTGTTAATGGTACTACTACACACTACTGTGTGTGTGAGGATTTTGATGGGATCCCCCCCATAAACCCAATGGGAACTTTTTGCTCATTTTGCCGATCTAATGATTACTATTAATTTATCCAATGGGGAAAAAAGTTCTCAATGGGTCGATCAATGGTAAACATTAATAAGGGAATATTTGGTTTTTATGTTATAATATATTTGGCATTAAGTTGAGTATTCCGTATTTGTTGCAGGAGCTGTTTCCATCAGGGTTCATGTTCATAAACAACGTGTTCTACGTAGACGAGGGCGAAGGCCGCGTGGACTACTCGGAGCCCATCCGCGCCTGGGCGCAGCGCCGCGGCCTCGGCGACTTCCCCAAGCTGGACATGCACCGCGTGCGCCTGCAGGACCTCGTGCTGCGGCTGGGACATCCTGAGGTCTGTTGTTATTTTGGTAACTAAAATTAATTATGCCCAACCGTCACCCCGCTATTAAAAGTTTCATCCGTCTCACCTTTTGCGACGAGAGGACGGTTCGAACTTAATTTAATTTTTTAACGGTTCCATCTGTCACCTTATTGGTCATAGTGGAAGAAAAAGGTGGGATGGATAAAAATTTAATTCTGTCTAGTTTAAATCTGTCCCCACGTTGGGACAGCGCTCGGTGACGGTTGCGAATAGTCCACTAAAATGTGCTTGTAACTTATTGACCCTCTAAATTAAATAGCGTGGAAATATATAGCTTATAGCGCTTGGTTAGTATTGGTTATTTCACTAAAAATATACGTAGACAAAATTATGGTGTGATTGGTGATATCCTATGTAACAAAGAAATATATGCTTCTTTATTATATTAGTATAGATAACAGTAACAATGTATATTCTACAGTGGTAGTGCCCGCTTTAACATCTTAGCACGAATTGGCCGGCACGCCCCCAGCAATACCACGACCACACAGAAGACAGGCGTGAAGTAGAAGCAATTCCGTGTTTCGTCTGATGAGTGTGGTGCCGGAGGCCTAATTTAAGTCCCTTTCTCTTTACCATCCTTTTCTTGTTAAGAGAGGATGGGAAGAGGAAGTGGATTTGACAATGGAGGAGATGCATAGGAAGGGGAAATACCCTTTTTATGTGCGTCTCCTCTTCCGTCGGATAAGGGTAGGCAACGCATCCGCAATTGCGGATGTCTATGGGCGGCGGTCGCTTCGCCACTTTGGCGATTTCAGGTGGCCGCTTGCTCGTTTGCCACCTTATGTTATAAAAAAAATAACTATTCTTATTTGACTACATTGAATGAAAGAAGAGTTGAGTCAATGGTAGGTGACGGGTGGCGTGTGCAGGTGTACGTGCACCAGGGCAACTGCGAGCACCTGCTGACGTTCTCGGAGGTGCGGCTGGGGGGCCCGCGCGAGGCGCTGCGCGCGCCGCAGCTGCCGCGCCACACGGCCGTGCTGCAGCACCAGACGGTGTACTGCACCACGTGCGCGGAGTTCGGCGCCAAGTGGGTGGTGGTGGGCTGCCGGCGCGTGCCCTTCGACCCCGCCTTCTTCTGCGACACCTGCTTCACGCTGTACCTCTACATCGACGGAAAGAAGATTGGCGACTTCAAGGCCTACTCCTACAGAGGTAATGAGATTAACACTTTGAAACCGCTCGGTTAATAAATTATTTCTATTGATATTTATGGTTTTATTTTTCCCCTAAAATTATTTTAAATGTAAGTATAAAACACGTTTTAATGAAAAAGTAAAATTGACGCCTTACAAAAAATTATAGCAATTTTGTATAACTTCATGATATCTAAAAGAATGTAGTTAGATCCAGACTATTAAAAGCTGATGGTAGATATCAATATAAAACTGTTTATGTAGACGCTGCCGTCTCGCTGCTTGCTTGCCATGCTTCTGACCATCTACTGGTACGTGGAAACTTCTAGAAGTCCATGAAACTTGACTTACCAAATGATGGTAAGTAATTTTTATAAACGGTAGTTTTTCTGTAAAATAACCTATTTTGAAGTCACATACAGTGATATATGTAGTTCGAGCATCCAATAATGTTGTCATAGTTTTATTCAAAGTACCAATTTTTTGGCCTAAAATTGGAGTTTCGATTGATGTCGAAATATCCGGTTGCCTGTTTTATCACGGAATAAACCAGGGATCGGATCATCTCGATCTCTGTCAAAATCTAATGAAGCAAAGATAAGTTATCCGGTTCTTTGCCAATGTTCCAATCTCAGAAACTAGGTTATCTGTGTAAACATAAACAGTGCAGTTTATTTTTAGTCTGTGCAGCGCGCTTTTCCAGGTTATACAGATTAAATAATTTCAGCTGTCAGAGGAGCGTTCCATCATCATTTTCGCGGCGTTCGATAAGAATGCTTGTCAGTATTAGGGTTGCCATAGGCATAAATCTTTAATGTTTTTAAGTCGATTCAAAAATCAAAAAATATCCATATAGTTAAACTTTTTATTATAATTTTTTTATAGCACAAGGTGGCAAACAAAATGTTTTAACTAAAGTAGCGTATAGAGACCATAGGCCCATAGACATTTGTAACAATTAAAAAGGGCTTTGCCTACATTTAGGGGACATGTCAGGGGACCTATAGAGAGACGATTTTTATCCCGTTGGAAACATTTACTATTCGTATATCTACTACAAAGCTATTGCAAAATCGTTATCTTTAAAATGCTGATTTACCGCTAGCCTCGTTTTGACAGTATAATGCATATTTAAATGACATCAGATGTTATAAAATGCATATAATTTAATATAGCTGAAAAAGATTCGCTATCTGGGTCACATACCTAGGGAATGAATCTGCTCTGCGTTTGTTATCTCGTGCATAAAGCCTTGTCTTATAGCGATAACTGAAGAATTCCAAATAACATGCTAATTTGTAATTAGAAAGTATTTTCACGCGAAAACATCATCAAAAAAGTAATGTTTGGTTAAAAATTTGCTAGCATATGCTCTAATATTTATTTATGCGGTAAAGTGGTTGATTAGCACAATGGAGTTCAAATCTAAACCTACAAATTACAGTTCTTGTGTCCGACTGCTTTACCGAAATGTCACCAAATTAATTACGGCAGGCTCTGAAATGCCTTCTTTTCTTTTACTTCTGAGAGTCACTCGAAGTATTATTCCCTACCGTCACCCCGCTTTGTCCCCACATGGAGGCAGATGAGAATAAGAAGTTATCTGTCCCACCCTTTGCGACGAGGGGACGTTTGGAACATAATTGATTTCATAATGGTCCCATCTGTCACCTTATGGGTGATGGTGGGACTAAAAGGTGGGACGGATAAAGCTTTTAATTCGTACGTGGGGACAGAGCGGAGTGACGGTTGGGAAAAATACCATTTGAAGGTATTTACTTTACAATTCAAAACGTATAAATAAAGCACTCCATATAAAAGGTTAGTATATTGGCAAGTGGTATAAGTTATGCGGAGTGTAGTACGCATGATGTCACCTCTCGCCACTTGAATTTGCTTACACGCTATTCTTACCGAGTCAATATTATCTCATAGCCATCGCTTACATAATTCATACAGCCTTACATTGTTCCTTTACTAATTCACCGACAATTTGAATTGTTTTTATAATGTTAACACCTTGTATAACAGCCTTATTGATCGTTAAGAAATCAGATATATTAGTAAAGATTTCGATATTTTAGGGGTCAATCATTTTACAGTTGCTTATGCATGCGTTTCCATTACAAATACAATATATCTTTTAGTAATAAGCAAATAAAACAAGTACCAAATTAGATATTGCCGCAGAATTAGTGTAGATCTGAACATTGTCTAGTTGTAAATAAATATTATAATTTAGTTCAAGAATGCAGTCGCATTGTCAGCTGATGTAATTTCTACGTAGTATGCGAATATAATTGCACTAACATTAGTCGCGTGTGTTGCCAATTGTTGACAGACTATTGATAGAATTAAAAAACAAAAGTAAGTAGCCTACGTCTTCTTCCAGACTATCTTCTACGACTATACCAAATTTCATCGAGATACCGACCGATTTTGATAATTCTTTTTTTATCCGAAAGGTAATGCTTGTAGGTGGGTCCCATTTTTTTTTGTTTGATTTTTGGAGTTATTGTTATAACAGTCAACTATGGTTTTATCCCAGTAATCTTAACAACTATTCTCTCTGCTTTCTTAGCTAAAGTATAGTTCGAGGGATAAAATTATCAACCTATTACATGGCTTTTATAACAGTGTTTGTCGTCGCAGTTCTATTACCCAATGACCATTCGTAACTACGTTTTCGAAGATTTATCTCCTATTGTGTAGTTTTATAACTTCATATGCGTAAATATACGATGCGGTTGTTAAAATATAACGTTTTTATATGACTTTGTTACACAAATATATAATTTTTTCACACTAAAAAAGATTGGTGACTAAAGAAGCCTCTTAGTGTATATTTAGTATGGGTAATCTACGTCTAGATATTGTCTATGAGCTAGAGGTTCATAGATGTTCGTTGTTCTTTAAAGATTGTTAGATGATCTTCATGATTTGTAAATAAGTTTTTATCTCTAATATATCTCTAAATATATGGAAGTATTTATTGAGTTTTCGAGAATATTTCGTAAGAGTCTGGCGCTAAGTAATTAACCAATTGTGGTTATCATTCGGCATTCGAGCGTGATGTAAGCGCACATCTAACCGCCTTATCTATTTCACTATCTACTTCATTGCAATTAAATCTATTTTATTGTTTATTCAGATGGTAACACGTTAGTTTCGCTAACGTTTGTTTGAGATATGTAGCAATACTACGATCAACAAAATGTCTTGGATAGGGAAAATTTCGTGACATCTTATAAGATGTGCTCAATTATTTTTCCGTTGTAACCACTTTCGTGTTTAGAACCTCGTTTTGCTTAACCTCTTTCTAACCAGTTGATCAACAGTGCATTGGAAATTTGCCTTTAGTTACATCCTGTAGTTTTCTAGTCTAAAGGTCTCTGTTATTTTTCAAAAGATTTTTAATTACGTTACTGCCACAAATGTACTGTAGGTATGCAGATTGTGTCCTAAATGTTGAATTCGCATGTGGCAGCCTAGATATCATGTTATCCACGCCTACGTGATACTGCGTGCTGCAAATGTCCTAATTGCGATTGGATTGTTGAAACTGTGACCTATGTTATGGAAAATTTTCATAAATCTCATTGCAGTATTTGAAAGAATTGATGTCAGAATAACTGATCCATCAATAATGACTCAGGGTTAAGAGGAAAATAGTTTGAAATATGAAACATGCATAATTTAGCAGATAAAATAACTACTTTTAACTAAGCACATTAGAAAAGTCTAATTCCGAATTATATATACTTTAGCTTTCGCTCGCGATTCCGTCCGCGTGGAATTAAAAAACACTATTGAGTAGCCTATGTATTATTCCAGACAATGCTCTTCATCTGTGTCAGGCTACAAACTCTAACAAACATCCCTCCATCTATCTAAACTTTTGCATTTATAACAGTAGTAAGATTCATATACAACAAATGTCGAGATTTTTGCTTGCTTTTCCTCCAAATTGAAACTAAATAGTTTTCTAGTTTGTCTATGGTGTACGGCGGTGGCAGATGGCGCTAGTGTGCGGCTGTGTCAACACGAGCGCGGTGTTTGAGTTCCGTATCTTATCTGATTGTTTGCAGCCTCCTTACGCTCGCTGCGTGACCCAATTAATTGCTATACATTAGCATTTTGTACGAAATATACCTTTTATTAGATAAATTAATATATGTTGGAGATGTTGAGATGTACTAGAGCCGATTTTAACATTACAAGTGCCCAGGGCGATAAATCTACGGCGACCCTTGCCATCTCGCTCTACCCTAATGGCGCTACTGAATACGACGTATACATTAAAAGTTTACTTTAAAAGCCTACACGTAACTTATTGACCAACTTAATGCAAGTGCTAAAGATTTAGAATCTCATTTACTGTAATGATTGTAAATGAATGATTTCTCTTAAATTCACTATAGATAGTATCTAGCAGTCGAAGGTGTTGCCAGGTGTAAAATATTTATGTTTTAAATGTTTTTTTGCGTAAATTGTCTTCTTAAAATCTTAATTAATAATTCAACGTGAAGTAATTGTGGGTATGTATACAACACGTTCGAAAACACGTGCTTTATTACATTTACACAAGAATTACTCTCACATCTTACTATTGTTGTAAGTCGTTAGTGTTGTAAATATTTCAGAGTTGAAATAATATAATTTAATCTTAATATGAAATAGATTCTATGAAACGAGATGCTCGCTAACAGCCAACGTCAATATTAGAAGTGAAACCATGTTAGGTGTCCGTAATAACATTTTTTTTTATTATTTTATAAATAATATTCGGTTATTAAGCAATTATAACGTTTATATAATATCCTGCTAATTTTCTTTTAGCAAAAAATAACCTATATATACAACAAACGCAGGAAAAACATGTAAATAAAATGTTACTGAGCGTGATTTTTTAAATAACTTACTGTTTGACATTCATATGAATAATGCAATAAAATTATTAACTGGCGTATAATTGATTTATATTTATTCAATAAATTCTAATATCTATATCTATACTATTATCATAAAGCGTAAACACACACTTCTTTGTTGCCTAAGATGTCAGCAATTA